AAAAAATTGATAAATGAGATTCCATCAAAATTTAGAACTTTAAAAGACATCATTAAGAAAATGAAAAGTAGTCCTTAACCAGAACATATTTATAATTCATATAACCTATGACCAGAATATATAAAGAACTCTTACAGTGCATTAGTAGACAACCCAATTAAAAAGTAGATAAAAGGAGTGAGGATGAGCCCCCCTCCCCTTGTCAACCACAGGGATCCTGGGAGTCACAGCCTTGTCCTCAGGTCTGTTCTTCTGTGAGGAGATGAGATAGGACCTGGGCTCGGTTAGGGCAAGGTGAGGGGCTGCCCTGGGGGGACTGAGGAAGCCCCACCCTGATGGCATCCCAGAATAATCCAGGTCTGCGTCTGCTGCCCTTCTCTTCCCTAGCACATTATTCTCAGCACTGAAGTTTTGAAGGTAACAGGAAGGAATCCTACAGAGCCTGGTTTCTCCTGTAGTCAACCTGGAGTTCCTGGAGAAGGTAGCCATATATAAACTGCTCACAAATCTACTGAGTGGCTTTACAGGGGAGAACTGACAGAGGAGCTCCAGGAACCAGGTGGTGAAGGTCTTCCCTATGTCACACAAGAGAGGAGGCCAAGGAGTCAAGATCATCATGAAGCCCCTTGGCAGAGGAGCCAAGACAGCAAGCTGGGGGAGGCCATCCTGCCCAAAGAAGCACAGTCATCATGAGTGTGCCAGTTCTCAAGGATGTGAAGGAGGAAGCAGCAGCCACTGCTTCCTCTGTATGCTCTTCCTCCTATTCTATAATCAGTGCCACACCAAGACAAGAGCTAGAGCTTTGGACACTAAGGTATCTTCAGAGTCCTGATGGCATCCTCTCTCTCCCCACTGCCATGGCTTCTACTCAAAGGAGTCATTTCAATGAGAGCTCCAACACACAAAAAGCGGAGGGTTCAAGCCCTTCGCAAGCCATGAACTTCCCTCAGATCCTGTGCAGTGTGCTTCTAAATGAGAAGTTACATAACCTGGTGCCCTTCCTGCTCCACAAGTATCAAAGGAAGGAGCAGACCACCATGGAAGAAATGTTGCACATTGTGTCCCATGATTACTGTAAGCACTTCCTTCTGAACTTTAGAGAATTCTGTGAGTCCGTGTCTCTGGACTTAGGTATTGAGATGAGGGGAGTGGATCCCTCTGGGTACACTTATGTCCTTGTGCCCATCTTGGGCCTCACTATCAGTGGCATACTGGATGATGATGAAAACATCATTCCCAAAGTTGACCTCGTGATATATATCCTGACTGTAATCTTCATAAATGGCAATAGTGTCAGTGTGGAAGAACTAAGGAAACAAGTTATAAGTTGGGAGACGTTAGTTCTGAGGGAATGAGTTGTTATTGGGGATCCCTGGAAATTTATCACAGAGGATTTTGTATGGGAACAGTACCTGGTGTATAGGCAGGTTCCTAATAGTGGTCCTGCTAGCTATGAGTTCCTGTGGGGTCCAAGACCCCATGCTGAAACCAGCAAGATGAAAGTTCTGGAGCATGTGGCCAAGCTTAACAGGGCAGATCCCAGGTCTCACCCACGTCTATAAGAGTGGGCTTTTTTTTTCCCCCATTAACTTTATTGGTACATTTTAGGTATAAAATACAGTTACATTCATCATTGGGATCTTGTACCATTACATGAGTCTCTT